GTCCTGGATGCCATTCATTTTCCGACCGTGAGGCCTGGACTTCCTGGCTAAGGTGCCTGGATCTGTGTGGCGTAGAAAGCAGACGCAGTGTGGAGACAGTGGGCCCTGTAGCATGCGTTGAGGCTGGGCCAGTACATGGACACAGAGGCCACTATGCTACCTCGTTGTGAGGAGCAGTCCCCAGGGGGAGGTTAGCCCTAGAAGAGGATATTGACTGCTGGTGTACGTAGAGAGAAGGCGGCGTCCATAGCTGGAGCAGGGCGCTAGCGAGAGTAGAGTGTAGGAGGCGTGTGCGTGTGTGTGTGTGTGTGTGTGTGTGTGTGTGTGTGTGTGTGTGTGTGAGAGAGAGAGAGAGAGAGAGAGAGTTCCGGGATCAAATTGTCAGCATTTTCCTGGAGAGGGGAAGATGATTTTGGAAATAGACATTTCGGGAGGAAGCATTGAGAAGGTTTCAATTTTGGACTCTGGACTGAGACTCTCCCGTCTCCCATCTCTTCTTCTTCTTCTTCTTCTTCTTCTTCTTCTTCTTCTTCCTCACACACCTCGTCTGTTGGTGCCGTGATAGGGGATGGGTGCCTGTTATTGTTGGAGATGTGAAATGTTGACGTGGATCTCCAAGGTAGTGTGTAGAGGAATGTTTCGCATTGTTCGTTCGGGGATTGTCGTTGAGCGTAATTGAGTCTGCCTCTGCCATTTCATCTCGGAGTCCTGCACTCCACGTCTCAGAACAAGTCCTGGGCTCTTTGCATCCCGGATATTACCACCGTGTATACCAAAGGCTATGAATCAATGCGATTCTCGGTCACACCAGACAGCTCAGGCACACAAGGCCAGAGGCCCAGAGGGAAAGCGAGATAATGTTGTATGAGGAGGGATGGGAATGATAACACTGTAAGGTGGAAGAGAAGGAAGACGGACAAGAAACGAGGAGGTAAAGCGGGCGCGGGAAAGGACGGACAGAGGCCACAGAAAGGAGGAGGAAGAGGATAGGAAGATGCTGAAGAAAAGGTGAAGAAAATGCTGAGGAAAAGGGAGCGGGAGGAGGACCCAGGATTGGTTCGGTAGATGTGCGTAGAACGACTCGAGTTAAGATTCTAACTTTCCATTGGAAGAACAAGAAGGCGATAGAGAAGCAAGAGGAGGAGGAGAAGGAGAAGGAAGAGGAGGGCTAGAAGCGGCAGCAGCAGAAGGAGGAGGAGGAGGAAGAAGAAGAAGAAGAAGAAGAAGAAGAAGAAGAAGAAGAAGAAGAAGAAGAAGAAGAAGAAGAAGAAAGCGGGGTGCAGGAGGAGAAGCAGGGGTAGGAGGAAGAGGAAGAGGAGGAGGAGGAGGTCATAGTGGTATAAATATGCAGAGAAATCCAATGAAAGAGGACCCGGAGGAAGAAGGGGAGCGAGGTCGTATAAATGTGCAAATAACGACTCGCCTCGAGTCGATTGGATTGGATTGGATTGGATTGGATTTAATTGAATCGTGAATTTCAACCGAATAACAAATTCATAACACATATAAATTCGATCGGTGGACTCATTCCTAAGTCCAAAGATCCGTAGTCATCTTCAACTTCAGGAGCTTCTGAAATCAATGATGTCAAGGTTATCTCAGGCTTCTCAGCTGCTCAGGCCCGACTTAGAATAGCGTGAGGGCCAACTTGAAGCTCCGACCCTTAAAAACAATATAAGTTAACCAATCGTGAAATTGGACGGTGGCTAGCGTTCGCCGAGGAAAACCTGCCGTAAAAAGGCAAAGAAAGCTAACGACCGTCCGATCTCAAATCAATCTGTGTGTCCTAATATTCACTAAGTTGAGAGTCCTCATGATTTCACCTCCTCCCTCTTCTTTCGCTCTCCGCTGAACCTCAAACGCCCCAGATTTAACTATTCTTACGTTTCCTAATCCATTCATCCCGACTTCTTTCGCTTCTGTAGATGCTAACCAACGGGTCGTTGATCGACTGCCCGTAAACCCATCAAACAAGACCTTCGCGTAACAACTCTCTCTCTCTCTCTCTCTCTCTCTCTCTCTCTCTCTCTCTCTCTCTCTCTCTCTCTCTCTCTCTCTCT